GCGCCAGGTCGCGCGCAGGCCGCGCCAGGTCGCGCCCAGGCCGCGCCAGGTCGCGCCAGGTCGCGAGGTGCCATGTGTCGCACTTTCACTGGAGGGCCAAATCTGCCCTCATCAGGTACATTGGGGAAATTCTTAGAAATCCTACAATTACATCAATCACAATAAATCTTAAGTTGAAATAGCTATGTATAAAGTATAAATCCAGGACAAAAGCACATTTTAATAGTTTATATGATGAGATACATTGTAATCAACGATAACTACAATGTAGGGTCTGTTTGGTTTTACAGAATAGGTGCCTGGAACTGGATTAGGATAGTCCATTTTGATACCAACTGTTTATTTGGCAGGAATGGGGTTTTGATTCTCATTCTTGGGGAAGTAGCCATTCCAAGCCCTTGTAGGGAATGGAATTTCGACTCCCAATCCAGAGTATGTCAAGAAGTAAAGAACTCATGGCTAAACCCCCAAACTCTAATATTAATAAAATATTATTAAATATATATAATAGGAAAATAATAATAATAATAATAATAATAATAATAATAATAATAGTAGTAGTAGTAGTAGTAATAATAATAATAATAATAATAATAGTAGTAGTAGTAATAATAATAATAATAATAAAGTATATATAAAATATCAATATAATATAATTAAAGTAATAATAAATTAATATTAATAAACAATTCATGAAATAATAGTAAAACATTAATAATTAAATAATAACATATTATGAAGGTAATAATAATAATAAAATAAGAATATGTTAATATTTAAAATAGTAATAAAATACTAGTAAAACATTAATTTGAAAATAATAAAAAATAATATAAGAAAATAATTATTAAATATAATAAAATAATAAATTATTAATAAAATATAACAATGGAAATATTATTAGATGTCATACAATAGCTTTACTAATAATACATCGAACAATGTTCAAGCTTCCAGTCTACTAAAAACTCATTGCAAGACCTCAAATTCTTGTTGAACCAATGAGCTTAATAGATTAACAATAGATCCATCTTATAACCTCTTTGAGGCAGTGCCCAGATTGTTACGCCTTTCCTGCGGGTCGGAACTTAACCGGCAAAGAATTTTGCTATCTTAGGACTGTTATAGTTATGGCCGCCGTTCACTGAGGTTTTGGTCGTCGGCTCTCCTATCATCAAGTCACCAACTTTTTTGACCTTCCGGCACTGGGCAGGTGTTAGCCGGTCCACGTGGATGCATTGATACCTTTGGATACCAATATCATACACCTTAGACATGCTAAAATCTTGTTGTAACAAAAAATGAACTCGTTTGGTTGGTTGTAGTGAAGATTACTTGGGACCAAATATGGCCTTCACCAAGGTTAGGAGACAGCTACCTTGTAGTGTAAAACAACAACTGAAAAGAGCTCATAGATGATTGCATCCAATTATTTGTGAGCACAACTGTTGTGCTTTGTCTCGCACGACAATGGAGATCAACTATATATGACCAACCTCAGGCACTAAATGAAAGTGAGGAGCATAGTAGTCTCTGTCTATAATTAATGGGGCTGTAGAAACCCTTGCAGGACGTCACACGAGGTATTCACCATTTATTTCTTTGAGTTCAAATTTTTTACTTTGATTTTAAAATTTTTGTCATGGGCTTCATTCTTTTAAAAATGAAAAATGGTTTTGGCATAAAAATAGAAACAGCCTGCAGCACGAAAAAATAATTGTGTCGCATGCTGCCCATTGTCATTTGTTTCTATCTCAGCTTTCTCTCCCTCTCTCTATGGGTATTCGCAGTGGATCTCTACTGTCGTTGATGACTTCTTCAAGCTGTGATCTCTCTCTTGTGTGCTGCAAATCAAACCACTGAAATAACGTCACCTTGTTCAAACAAAACTATTTTGTGTTTAAAGAAAATGAATTCTCTCCCCTTGACAATCCAGCATGAATCAAATGAGTTTCCTCAATACTGAAACTCTCTTGGCAAAATTTACAATTTTCCCTATCAAATGTATATCTTCTCTCTCCCTCCTTGAAATCCCATTAACACATCTTTTAACCTAGTTGACTACTTTGGTGACCCAACTAGAACACAAAATCTAACAGTTAGAGAAGTCAAATCAATTCATTCTCACGTCATCAAAACGTCCCTTATTTACTCTGATGTATTCGTTGCCAACTCTGTTGTTGAATGTTATTGTAAATGTGTAGCAATGGACAATGCCATCCGATTGTTCGATGACATCCCTTATCCAAATGTTTTGTTGAATTCTTTCTTTTGGGTCTGATCCCAGTCGGTTCACCTATGGGACTGTTCTTTCAGCCTACACTACCTCTAGGCTATTTTTTTCTGGTCAACAAATTTGTTTTCGCATAATAGGAATGAGTATTTTACTAATGGATATGTTTGGATTGGAATGATAGACTTGCTTTCAAAAAGTGAGAGTTTCAAATATGCTTTAACTAGTGTTGTTAAGAATGCGTATGCTGGAATGCTATAATTGTTGGTGTTGTTAAGAATGGGGATAACATACCAAATGTTAGGCGGGTTGTTGATGCCAAAC